TATTAATATGTGATCCCTAAATCTGCTAAGCCTAAAGGGGTCTAGTCTACTAGTCGAGTTACTAATGAGATGCGAGGTTACATAACCATATCCCGTATCCCATATCCTATTACCCATATCCTATTGCCCATATCCCGTGTCCCGTGTCCCGTGACTATGCACGTGACTCCCAAAGGAATAGCTGTACTAATAAGAACAAATTTATAAGAAATATAAATACTTTAGTTAGCCTGAATTAAATAGAATTCTTTATTTAAAAGCTTAATAGTTCTTAATTAAAAAAAATATCTAAAATTAAATTTATATATATTTCAATTATTAAATAATAAAAGATTCTCGCCCGGAAATAAATAAAGGGCTTCGAAATTCTTTTAAAAGAAAGAATATCTAGTTCTTTAAATAATAGTTAATTAACTTAATTAGAATTCTATCTAGAATCTATTTTAGAAATTAATAGATTATTATAACTATTAAATAATTAATAGACTGGCCTATTATTTAAATATTAAAAGATATTATATATTAAAATATAATAAATTTTATTTAAAAAGAGATTTTTATTATTTATAGAACTTCGAATAAGATTTTTATAAATAATAGTTCAAATCTAATATTAGAAGCTATAAATATTTTTCTTTAGATAATAAAAATCTAATATTATATAATTATTTTATATTATTTATAAATTAATAGGAAAATTAAATAATTTAATAGAATATTAGAAAAAATACTTATATAATATTTATATAATAAGCTAGTTATATTCTGAAATAAATATTTATATTAAATACTTTTTTATTATATAAAGTAAAATCTATTTAGTTAATAAATATAGTTTATTCTTTTTTCTATTTAGAATAAATTCAAGACTTTCTAGAAATCCAAATAAAGCCAAACTAGTAAATAATTAAAAAACTTATCTAGAAGAAATAATTACTAAATATATTATTATAAATAAAGCTTAATTAATATATAATAAGTTCTTAATAAAAAAAAGCCATTAAAATATATATTATATAAAATTAAATTCTTAAAAAAAAATAAAAACATTTTAATAGAAATCTATATTCTTATATAAAACAAATCTCTATTAAAGTTTAAATTAAAGTAGTTTGGTTTCTATAAGATTATATTTACTATTCTAATTAAAATATATAATTTATAAGATATTTATAAAAAAATTCTTAAATCTCTTATTTATAGAAATTAACTTATATAATTATATTCGAATATAGTTAATAAAGAAACTAGAAGTTAGAATATAATATATAACTTTAATTAGTTATATAAACTTTATAATTTAATTAATTTTTTAAAAGATATTTAAAATATATTTAAATAAGAAAGAATTTTTATATATTTTTATAAGAAATTAGAAACTCTTTATAAATGAGAATAATTAAACTTCTTAATTCGAAGGCTAAATTAGTTTAAATTAGAATAGAGAAAACTTAATAATACCTATATTAATTAAGCTCTTTTTAATAAGCTTTAATTAAAAATAAAATATTAAAAAAAGCTAAAAAGAAAAGAGATTAAATAAAAACTAGTTAAGGAATTCTCTTTTCTTTTAGTTTTTCTATCTTTTTATATCTCTCTAAAATAAGTCTGCTTAAGCCTTAATTAAGTATTTAAAAGCTAGTTATAGATTCTAATAGTAATTTTCCTTAAAAAAATTTCGGAGTTCCTAATTAATAAATTAATAAAGCGGCCGGAAACAGAAAAAAATAAATCTATATAAAAAAATAAAATTATATACTTGTCTATATATAGTATTATAATTTTATTAAACTAAATACTAAAATCTATAATTATAAAACCTATTATAAAAAAGAAATTCTCGAATAAAATCCTAAAAATAATAGTAATTATTTCAAATAAAACTAAGAAAATTAAGCTTTTATAACTAATTAAAAGAAAAAGAAAATATCTAAAAGAGTTTTTAAAAGTAATAAAAAAACTACTAAATATATAAGTAATAAAACCAAAATCTTCTCTAGTTAGAGAAACTAGATAAAAAACTTATATAAGCTATAAATTAAAGAAATCTTTAATTCTTATAAAAAATAAAATAGAACTAATTATAATACTTGAAAATATAATATTTAAAAATAAGAATTTTATTTTTTTATAAAAAATCATATAATAAATTAAATAAATATTACATATATTTATAAGATCATTTTATATTTTTTTACGAGAAATTATTATAAATAAAACCCAAGAATTTTAAATAAATAGCCTTTAGCTCAAATATTTATTTTTCTAATTACTAAATTTTTTACTAATATTATATATATACTTTTTAAAATCCTAAAATCCCTAATATATTCTATACTAGTCCCGTCTATAAATATTTAATAATATTTCTTTTTACTAGAATTAGAACTAGAGAATTAATAATTATTTTAATTACGTTTAGTTTCAAAGTTCTTATATAAATTTAAAAAAGCTTATAAATATAAAAAAGATTCTTAATTACTCGGGCTAGATAGATATTAAAAACAGACTAAGAAACCTCTAAATAAAAGCTTTAGAAGCTTAATTATAATTAAAATTAAAGAATTTAGGAAATTTAGAATAAGAACTTAAATTTATAAAAGATCTAGACTATAAATAAAGAAAATTAAAAATATTAAAATAACTTCTAGTATTCGAATAAAATAATAACTAAATCTATATATTATTTAATTATATATCTATAATAGATTTATTAGAACAGAATCGAATATAGCTATAAGAATAACTAGCTATTATAGAAGCTATAAATTCTCTTAATTAGAAATTATTTAAATTAAAGCAGATATATTTATTTATTTCTATTTAGGAAATAGAGCCCGTTTATAATTAAAGAAAATAAAAACCTATTATTAAATTACCTAAATTAAATATATTTTTATTATTCGAAATAATTTAATTATTATTATTATTAGAAAAAGAGTCTTTTCTAATATTAAAAACTATATAATCTAAAATAAAATGATTTTCTAAATATTAAAAAATATTAATAATACTTTACTATTTATTTATAGCTATTTTAATACTATTAGAAATATTTAAATTAAACCGGAATCCGATTTAAATATAATTATATAAGGTATTTTAGTATAAAGATATATAAAGGTAATAAAAAATAAAAAAACTAGAGCTAGAATTTAGCTTAAATTAAGAAAAAAACTAAAGAAAGAAATATATTTTTATTTAAATAAAAAAAAATATAAAGAATCTCAGCTATTCTAATAATAATTAGTATAAAAGCTATTAAATAGAAAAGGAAAATTAATAGAAGAAATAGAAATCTTATTATTTAAGGGCTTATAAAAAGAAATATATTAAGAAAAGAAACTAAATTTTTTTTTAATTATTTACTAGTTCTATAATTTGAAAAAAACTAGCTTTAAATATAGAGAAATAATTATAGAAATTAATTAACTTTTCTTTATATTAGCTAAGTTCTTAATAAACTTAAATATTTATATAAAGCTAATAAAAAGCCTTTAAATAAATTATTTAAAAAATAGTTTCAATCTCGATTTCTTACTAATTTAGCTTTTTTTCGAGCGAAATTAGTTTTAAATAAGGAATTAGAATATATAATTTATAAAACCCTTATATTTACTAATTATACTAGAATAATAAAAAGGCTTGCCTCTATTATTAGAATTACTACTTCTAAAACCTATAGTATAATTACTAGAAATAATATCTATATTAGCTATAAAAGTAATATAAATATAAACTAAGAAAATAAGAAAAAAATAAAAAAGCTTTATAGTACTAACTTATATATAAAGCCAGAAGATAGAAGCTAAAAGAAAAAAGAGAAAAAAGTAGGAAATAGATATAAGCGAGTAATTAAACTAGAAAATAGCTTAAGAAAAAAATATATATAGAGAATCTTAAAACACTTATAAAATAACTGAAATATAAAGACTTGAAATAGTAGTATTAAGGTTATTAATAGAAAAAAGAGAGAATTATAAACGAGTAAAAGAAACTTTTTTATACTTGCTTAAACGAATTTCTAGAGCTCTAATTAGCCTATTTAATAGAAATTACTAAAATAGAACTACTTGAAATATACTCAATTAAATCTTTCTAATATAAACGAATCTTAATTATATTTAAATGAATCTGGCAAAAGCTAGAAAAGAAAGATATAAGTAGAATATAGGTTAAAAACATATAAAAATAGATTCTTTTTATTCGATTTAATATATAAAAGAGGTAATAGTAAGAACTCCTTTAGATAAAAGAATCTTGAAATAAAAAGAAGCTATTTGAGGAGCCTTGTAATTTTCTTTTATAAAAAGGAATTTAATTAATACAGAATTATAGCAAGTAGTTTTAATATTCTCTCGTTTTATATGAATTTCAGGAGTAAGTTTGCTTTTAAGTAGGAGAGAATATAATTTCTAATTATGCTTTTATATGTAATCTAATTATACGTGGAATTACGTAAGCTCGTTCGAGCCTATTAAAGGCCCCGAATGTACAGGAATGGAAACGTTACGTCCTGTTTAACCTTTCCAATCACAGTAGGTAGCGACGAATATCACGTGGGCGAGTCATGGCATTGACTGGTGAATATGGAAACTAGGTGCCTAAGGCATAAACGAAATTTACCGCTACGCGATCTCGTTTAGATTAGATATGATAGCTTTTGCTCTTTTTGGCTTTGGATATCTTAATTCTTTATTCTAATTAGTTTTAATATCTTAATTTATACGATTTATGTAATAATGTCTATGTGTTGGTAAAGCCAAGATTTAACTCAGTCATCTTATTGGTAGAATTCCCTGTTTCGCCACCTCATGCCAAAGATGTGTTTATTACCAATCACCATAGCACGCAGTGCGCAGGCTGGTTCGTGCTATGATTGCTGCCTGCTAGGAGGATGCTGCACCGAGTTCTACAACTCCATGCATTCAGGTTGATCGAAAACTCTTGTCACAGCCTCCGATAAAATGAGCGACAAAGATCTTGCAGTGAAGAAAACTTGGACGGTGTTGGTCGGCATCAACTTCTATGTGAAAGACAAGCATTTGAAAGGCTGCGTTCGAGACGTTGGAGATATCAAGCAGTATCTCACAGCTAGGTCAAAGCATGTACATGTCGACACATTTACAGCCAGTGTGCCTCTTGACTCTAGCTCATCTCATCCAGCTGAAAGCCCAGAGCTTTGGCCCACATTCAAAAATTTGACAACCCGACTTGAAGAGATAACCGCCCAAGCAAATCGAGGGGATATTGTGTACTTTCACTACGCAGGACATGGGACGCAAGTACCGAGTTCCTCTTCGAAATACAACAAAACAAACAAAATCGATCTAGCCCTGGTGCTTTTTGACGATATTCATGGAAGTCGCTACCTTCGGGGTTTGGAGTTGGCGTGCATGCTAGATAAAATGGCGAAGAAGGGTTTGCACATCAGAGTTGTTCTCGACTGCTGCCACTCTGGAAGCGTCACAAGAAGCGACGACCCCAATCAGCCCAATATTAGAGGCACTGACTACGATAGTGCTATCGATGCCGCGTTCCCACCTTTCATAGACATCGATCTCGGATACCAGGACGGGTCATCCACTCTACGTGATCCTCGTTGGCAATTGAAAACACTCCTTAATCCGGCTGGATATGCAGTTTTTACAGCATGCGGACCCCACGAAACAGCTTATGAACTCGAACAAGCAGGAGACAGACACGAAGCCTTGTCATATTTTTTACTTCGTGCGCTTGCATCTTTGGAGACTGGTGGCTCAGAAGTTACAAATCAATCACTTCATCAACAAGTTCGTTCCCGGTTCCATGCTTATTGGCCGCGACAAAATCCAATGCTTTTTGGAAATAACGATATATCTTTTTGGGGAACTCTCGTTTCAGCACCGCGGACGTATATCCCAATATTCAAGAAACATCCTGGCAACACCCTGTATTTGGAAGCTGGACTTATCCATGGGGTATTTAAAGGCGACCTGTACGACGCCTATTCATTCGGAATTTTGGCAGACACTACAAGGAAACAAGAACAGATTGTTGCAAAGGTCAAAGTGACCAATGTTCTCAGTCTCACATCGGAAGTGGCGGAAATTAACTCACAATCTCCCACAGATCGGGATACAACAGGATGGGTGGCAAGGCCAGTCATGAATTTTTCTCCACGGAAAATTTATGTAAGACTTATGGCCCACGTTGATGACACGACACTGTGGATGGCAGCAGCGAGACGGAGACGTTTTTTGCGCTTTTCTACTGATGAAGTAGAAGGGGAACCTTCCATTTTCAACGTTTCACGCAATGATGATGACGAATACCAAATTCTGGATACCTCGTACAAGAGGATCATTTGTCTACCTACGGTACACGTCGGTAGTGACGAATCACTAAATCGTGTAATGGATCTCTTGGAACACCTAGCAACCTTTAAATACATCGAAGGGATTGAGAACCGAAATCCAACTACAACGCTTCAGTACTCGGTCACTATTGAAACCATTGGTCCTGATGGTGAACCTCTCCGATTGACAGACCTTCAAAATGTCAAGAATAATGACACATTACGCTTATCGATTGAAAACACTGGGGAAACGGTGATATATGTCGCTCTATGTTATCTTGGGCCACGTTGGCAGGTAGAAATCCTCCCACTCGATTCGGGTGAAGGGGACTATCAAGTTGTGCTTCCAAAGGATGAGAAGCAGGGACATTCGGGTCGACAGGAGATAGCAGAATTGAAAATGACTGTCTCGGATTTCTTTATAGCCCAAGGACAACATCACTGCAAAGATATCCTGAAATTATTCATTACTAGGAAGCCAATCTCATTTTCGGCATTGGTACTGCCTTCTATTTCTTTGGGCAAGTCATGGGAAGGAGCCAGTGGACCAAGCCGCGACCGTCAGAGTAACCTATCGAATTTCCTGTCAGAGATGGCCATACCGAATCGAGGTACAGAAACTGGTGATAGGATGGAAGATGGGGAATGGGCAACTTCAAACTTCATAATACACACAGCTATAGAGACCACTGGAGTATCAACGACTGACACAAACAAATAGTCTCGCCTGAGATAGAAATTTGACCGATGAAATATCTAAGATATCATTTCATTTAGTGCTCAGAAACATTCATGCTGCCGTTAAATCTCTTTCTTCTACTTCAATTTCGCCATTGACTAGCGCTCCCCTTTCGTCACAGAGAATGTATCTTCCTGCTCTAGGTGATGATGATATTTTGTACGGTCCTTCACGTGTACTACCACGAGTAAGGTAAACCGGGACGCCAGGCAGAAATTTGTTTATCTATACGTGTTGTCAGCGATCGCAATATTTCGATATATTGGCTCACTTCAAACTTATATTCTTTTACTTTAGCGCGGCCGCCATCGTCGCAGAAAGTAAAGTTAGGAGATTCATCCCTATTTAAAAAGAGCTTAGAATATCCATCGTCCATAGCAGATTGAAACTCACCCTTTAGAATCCGACATACTGCTAGCTGGCTCATGAGGTAGTAAGGCCGGCTACAGCCTTTCCGAGGATGAACTGTTCCCCACAAAGTTGATAATTCGGCGGCACTGGTTGTTAATCAATTAGCCCGATTGGCACTCTTCACTTTGAGTGTTTTCCGGGAATGAAACGTGTTTACCATTGAATTGGAGCTGGGCAGGGGTTTATAAAGAGCCCATTAATGATTAGGTAGCAATGCTACCGTGGTGCATGCGACAGCCTTATTTATTTATTGGCTATGCATTGTCAGACGCAAGCCTCACTACTGCCGTTAGCTTTGTTAAAACTGACTAATTATGCCCTGCTTTGATTTTCAGGTGTTGGTCTGCCATCCATATAATTCTACCGACACAGAGTTATGACGCTGCCTAATTGATAAGATTCTTCAATATACCACTATCGAAATTGCACCTCTTTAATTGATAAAAGGCAAACTCAATCTGAGCCGCTATGTCGACGAGAATCTTTCAAGAGGTTTTTGTATCTTGGAAGGGGCGATTCTTAGAATATTTTGACGGGAGCAGAACCTGCGAGACAAGAATACAGCAGAGTAATTCCAGTTCCCAGGCTTATGAAATGCTTTGAATGAGATATTTGTGTTTCCTTGCTAACTCTTTCTAGTCGAAGATTATTGTCCTGGATATCCCCGGTTCTCGGCACTGGTTGCGTCTCACAACTCATTCCAGCTCTGTCGCCGGTTCTCCAATCTACGTGCCCGACTGCTTCTACTGAAGCAAGATAGGCTATCGATGCTCGAAAGGCAACTAGCAGAAATCGATACAGAGGAGACCACCGCTCTATTTCTTGGTAGTAGCCGGTGCGATAACAATGTTCAGCGGACAGCGGTTCTCTCAGATATAGATGTTGCTCTGGCTGACTACGGTAAGCTGTTCTCTAACAAGTCTATTCCTGGCATGAGAAGCTTGGTAACAGACTTGCAGACGAATTTGTGGAAAGAAATCATAGAATGATTAGTTTTGACGTCGCAAAGCCTCGAGATATATTAAACTTGCAGAACTGGGTCAAAGGGAACGCATGTTTAGCGCGAGAAGAAACGGCCTATTTGGCAAACGGTCCCGATTTGATGAGCATGGCATTCTCAGATGATCTTGCTTTGACGCGACTGGAGGCTTGGGTGGAAGATTTCCTCATCCGTTTTCATCCGAGATTCCGTGGCGTAAGGACTTCTGCCACAAGACTGCTCATACAGAGTTGTTAAATGTTTTCTGCAGAACAGTTCACTTGCTGGCTCAAGAGACCCCCACGTCTACATATTTTCGGGTGTGCTCCTAACCCGGCTGACCAGGACGTTGATTATAGTGCTCCTCGTCGTTTTATTATTCGTGCCAGTCATTATCTGCAATGCACTGAGCGGCATAACATCTCGAATAGTTGTCATCGTGATTGCATCGATTTTCTTCATAATTACTCTGTCCGGCCTGACTAAAGCAAACACCGGAGCAATGTTTGTATCTGGGGCTACGTAAGTAGGATCCTCCCAAATTTAAGAGAGGTCTCGAAACCCAAAAGACTAATCTCGTTCTTTATCTAGGTATGCCACTATTCTGGTTGTATTTGTCTCTGGGACAAGTCATGTATAAATTAATAGTGAGGTAGAAATTGGCTGCTTTACTGGACGAGTAATCACATGTACTAGAGTAGGCCCACAAAACGTGGCGCTGGTTTGGAGGCCCAATTTGAATCATCACTGGCAACCAAAAGCGTGTGGCCTTACTAAGTTATTGAAGTCTCGAAAGTGGATTTGTTACATTTAGAATAATACAAGATCTTCATTTGCTAGCTCTCTAATCGCCACTAGTCCGAAATAGCAGTCTGCTCCACTAGAAAGATTATAGAAAGAGAGCCGAAAGAACCAGGTGTTTGATTTTAATTCGTTTCTCGGGTTATTAAAACATATAGAATTATGAGAGGCGCTCTTACGACCCAAGCGGTTCCTTTATAATTAGATTAGTTGATGTCATTTCGGACTAGGGATAGTCGGCGCTAGATGTCGACTGCCATGGCCTTGGCTTAACTTCGGAGGGGGAGTGAGGGACGTCGACAGAAGAGGAGGGCGATAGAGGGCGATAGAGGACGGCTGGACCCGCGAGCTGAGATCTGCCCACAGAGACGCGGACGCGCTTGCGGGAACGGAAGATTAGGTATTGAGATCGGAGAGGAACGAATGACTGTGTCAGCTGAGGCCTGCTCTGTTCACTATGCGAAGCCATGTTTCGACGCGGGAGAAGGACGTCGAGTTCAAATGATGATACTACTAAAGAGGATGATGTTGAGGCTGTCTAGGCGACAGCCATGGTGATGGCGATAAGGTCCTCTATATTTGGCAGCCCCTAATGATGCTCGCTTAGTTTTGGTGTTCCGACCCCTAAAAACAGCGATATAATTATCCCGGATCCGGGGATCAAAACACTACTACCTTGACTTAAAAAGTAATAATAATAACTTTTTATTTAAAAATATTTAAATAAAATTAATTATAAAAATATAAAAAATAGTTTTAAGTTTTTTTTATCTTATATATAAGACCTTATATATATAATATTAGTATAATTTAGTTTTAAGTTATAACTTTTATTAATTATTTTTAATATATTTAAATATAATTTTTCTTTATATCTTTAATTTAATATCTTTTAAATTTTAACTTTTAAGGAAAAATATAATAACTTATTAACTTTATATATACTAAATATTATATATAAGAAACTTTTAAGTTTCTATTAATAATTATTTAATTAATTAAGAAATAAAAAATAAAAAATAAAAAATAAAAACTAAAAACTAACTTTAAATTTAATTAAAGACTTAATTAATAAAAGTTTTACTTTAACTATTTTATTTTTAGTAAACTAATCTAAAGCTAATTCTCTACTATTAATAAAAAGTCGCTTATTTATAAAGGCGTTATAAGTTAAGATATTAACTTTTAAAGAGAGGGGTTTTAGAGGGATTTTAGTAAAGCGGAGCGTGCTTTGGTGCGGGACTTCGGTTACGAGCCTAGTCAGATAAGTCTATATTATACAGGGCACTTTAGCGAGCGAATTTAAAAATTACACACCTTACTAATTATGGCTCCTTTAATGCCCCCCCTTTAATTTGACTATAAACCAGGCTTTGAAATTGAGACAGGAGACAAAAAGGCAATATGCGAACTCTATGGCTTTATAAAGAAACCGATTCCAGCTCTTATAGAGCGCTATAAGCTCGGATATATTATAATTTGCCGCGTTTTAGAGTATAATCACTCCGAATATATACGCCCAATACAAACAGGTCGACTATAAGAACTTACCGACGCTCGAGTCAATAAGATTATTATATATTTGTCAGAGATATAGGAGAATTAATACCTAGATTGGATATATTTGCGTAATGAGCTCAAGCTTCCTTATATGCCGCAGATCCTCGCCACGCGTCTCAAATAAAGAGAATATTTCAGATATATAGCTTGCCAGAAACTATATCTTACCGCTATATAGGTTCTAGCCAGATTTCTTTGGGCAATTATATATATATTCTGGACGGTTGAGTGGCTTAAGGTCCTCTGGTTAGACGAGATTATATTCTTAGTTAGAGGTAGGACGGTAAAGCAAAGAGTAATACGAAAAGAAGGAGAGAGATACTATAAGACCTGTATATAATACCAGTTTTACCGGGGCTATATAACGTCTATTAATGCGTAGGGAGCAATTAGATATAGATATAAGAGTTCTTTGATCTTTCTCTGCAGGTCTGGTAAGAAGGGGGCCTGAATGCAAAAGGATTATCTTATATAAGTCTTTATACCACATATATAGCCTATTTTAGAGGCATTTGCGGCCGTTATATACCTCCTTCGTCCAGCCGTCGAGCCCTTATTTACAGAGGACGGGAACTCAGCTTACGGTTATAAATCAGCCCGTAATTACTATACTAGATGGCGTACTATATATAGGATTATCTTAATGCCATATCCTTCTACAAGCCCTGATATAAACCTTATTGAGAAGTGTTAGAGGAGGATCAAGCAGGCATTATACAGACGTCGTCGACAACCGACCACGGTAGCCGAGATAGAAGCTATAGTCTTAGAAAAGTGGGACAGAATACCTCAAGATTGGATAAATGAGCTAGTTTTAAAGCAAGAGCATTGGGTTACTGTATTAATGCAGCGCTATGGGTGGTCAACTCCTAATTAAATACTAGGTGTGGATAAAAATTTCATGTTTTTAATCGTGGTGTAGCCTGTAAGACACAGACTTATCTGACTAGGCTCGTTAGTAGTGGGCTGCTGGCGGCGTCTGTGCAATACCTGCTTGATCCGCCGCCAGCACTTCTCAATTGGGTTTATGTTGAACTAGCTAAATAGTAAAGCTAGGGACACGTGCTTGCAATGTAAACCAAGTAAAACGTACTGAATTGACTGCTGTTCTACAGTGGTAAGTAGCCCGTATATATAGCCCTGAACCCCCTAAGTCACATGCACTAAACCCCTAAACCAGAGAGCTTTATACTGAACCATTCAACCTCAGCTGAACTGATTTAGCCTCACAGGGCTTATTATGCCCTGTATCAACCTTACAGGGCATAATCTACTCAGTAATAAGCCTATGGCTTAAGCCCCATTAGTACACAGCCCCTAAGGCTCTGTTCCAGGGCTTACTAAGCCTATTAAGGGCCTCAGGCCCCTAATTTCAACAGTTTATATCGGAGCTCGTGGACAGGTGAGGTATTAATATAATACCATGCTCTGTGTGGAATCGAGCACAGCAATTGCGAGTAGACTTATGCCCGTGAGCTGCGTTGCCATCTTCTATAAATAAGGGCTCTGCAGAGGGGCGAAGAAGGTGTGTAACTGCCGCAAAGGCCTCTAGAATTGGCTAAATGCGCGCAAGTACCTGGGAGAGGTAATCCTTTTGTATAAAGGCTCCTTTCTTACTAGTTCCGTGGACAAATATCAAGGGACTCTTATAGCCATATCTAATTACTCCCCACGCGTTAATAGGAGTAGTATGACCATAGTGAAGCTGGTGTTGTATACACATCGGGTGTATTCGCTCCCCTCTCTTTCTCGTCACTCTCTGCTTTGCCGTCCTACCTCCTACTAGAAACGTAATCTCGTTAGACCAGAGCACTTTTAGCCACTCCTTCGTCTAGAATATGTGTGTGATCGCCTAGAGTAATCGCGCGATTACTTGGGCTGCTGTGAGGTAGGGTTTCTGATAAGCTACGCACCGGAAATAGCCTCACTGTTTGAGCCTTTTCTCGAGGTTTTTCGCAGAGCATTCAAGTCCAAGTTCGTCGTGAAGCAAGGTATAGTCAAGGATTCGGTACTCCCACGTTTCAGACGCGTACTCGATAATCTCGTCGACTTGTTTATTAGTGAGAAGGGAGGGCCTTCCAGTTCGACTGATTCGCGTACGCTCTAGCGCGTCATATTATAAAATCTTCTCAATTGTCGACCTAGGCAGCTCGTATCACGTCATAAGAAGCTCAACTGGTATCTTACCAAAGCCATACAACTGGCGTATCGCCTCCTTGTGTTTAGTCTCAATTTCCTCACCTGGAAGGTGGTTAAAATCGAGTGGTGGGGTAGCAGGAGGCATTAAATTAATGATGGTGCGCTCGCTAAAAACACGGACTTTGGTCCGCAGGCTCGTAAGGAGATTGGCCCCACCTACTGAAGCCCTTAACCCCTGTACTGCCACATCACCAAAAACTTTGACTTGCAACTTGGCACTTGCCCTTAGGTTTTTAAGATAAAGAGAAAATAAAATAATTATAGAAAATTTAGTTAATTTATTTAATTCTCCTTTAAATTTTATACTTTTATATAAGGTTTATTTTTAGAATATCTCTTATAAATAACTAAATTTAATATAAAGAAAGTAAGAAGTTAAGGAGACCTTATAAGCGGCTACTTATTTCGCTTAAATTAACTAGGGGCCCTTGATTCCCCCCTCCCCCCCTCTCTTTCCTAGTTTTTATAGTCTTCTCTTAATTATACTCTTTTTTAAAATATCTCTATTTATTATTAATTAAATCCTTGATTTTAAACTAACATTTTTTTATAACTTAAGAATTAAAAAAGTTATAAGAAATAAGATATATAAATAGCTTCAAATTTGTAACTAATAAGGGGTTATAATTATAAAGAACTTTTATTTTTTAATCGAAAATAAAGTCTCTTAAAAAGAGATTTTAATTAATCTAAATTAAAGGGAATATAAAAAAAGTATATCTAGTAAGTCTATCTCTTAAGATATTATAAATTACGAGTTATTTATTTTAAGATAAGTAAAGAAAGTATAAGTGTAAGATGCTAAGTCAAAGTTTTAGTAATGTGGTAGTAAGTACGTTCTAGGCCTCGGTATCACCAGCTCAATCCGGCCCTTTAGTTTAAATAGATTATTACTTGTACCTGCCTTATATTTAGCAAATTGGATATAGATAACAGCTGTGGCAGTGTGCTGTGCTATCAAACGCG